GGTTGACATAAAACATGTTGTTACGACATATTAAACACGTTGTTACGACGTTTTTATGTCGTGTCGACGTAAATCACGTCAACACGACGTCATAAGGTAGGGATATAATTTTGAAACATTTGGCTTGCCATAGGCCCGCCTGACTACCACTTCTCATGATCTCTTGCTGTGTAATCATTAGAGTCAGGCTTCACATAATTTTTGTCTCCCATGTGGCTTCAAGTATGCATTCCCTTAAGACCACATTAGTCAGCCAGGGCCTGCCCTGACTAATACCACATTTTGTCAAAAGTATATTACTGTACTTCAATAATAATAGTAATGTATAAAATTTCAGACACACAGTAAAGGAAAAAGGTCAAAAGAAAAGGTCATGCTTCATTATCTTATATCAACCTCATTACAGATAAGAACTGAAATATTGTAAAATGACCTAATTTGGATAAATAAACTTTTGTATTTTTAACAGGATAAAGAAACATGAATTAGTTACACAATATAGTAAGGGAACATCGTAATTATTCCAAATAAGAGATTAAGAGGAACAATTACAATGACACACCAAAGCATGAGCAATGCACATGACATGAGCTGTTCATGCATCACAAGTAATGTAACCCCACCCAGAGTAACAGACTAACTGACAACCACAACCCAGACTCACACATTAGATAATAGTCCCAAAGGACAAACAAAATCAAATGATCAAATTTAGTAATGATTTAGGGCTTTAGACAATAAATTAAATCAGAAATCTAATACAGAATTTGCTGACTTGTAGCATTAAATAACACACATTCCATGACCATTGTCATAACAATGTATGTGTTCAACTAACACCAAAAATGAATTAACAACTAGCTATGAACATTATGTTAACTATGAGGGAACATAGCTAGAGTAAAAGCCCACCATCCACTATTCAACTTTGTTGAAAGCAACTTTGTGGTTACTTTGATGTGCTGTCAGCTCTGTTGCCTGAATTCTATTTCAGGCAACAGAGTTGCCATAAAGCCCAACATCCACTATGGCAACTTTTTTGAAAGCAACTTTGTGGTTACTTTGTGTATGTCAACTTTGTTGCCAAAAGTAGAACAGTGTTCTACTTTTGGCAACAAAATTTCTGTTGATTTCAACAAAGTTGCCTAGTGGATGTTGGGCTTAATGCCCACCATCCACTATTCAACTTTGTTGAAAGCAACTTAGAGGTTACTTTGATTATAGGGCAACTCTGTTGCCTGAAATAGAACTGAGTTCTATTTTAGGCAACAGAGTTGACAGCATATCAAAGTAACCACAAAGTTGCTTTCAACAAAGTTGAATAGTACCTTTTCAAAGAGAGAGGCTATATTATATGTACTTTCCCTAACTAATGTACTAATGTGGAATGTTATGAAAAGACAACTTATATAGAAAGAAAAACAGTAAAAAGATTACCTTATGTCATTAACATAGTGCATCATAATGTACTATTACACTACATATTTACTATCATGTGAGTGCTGACTCAGAGATAACGTTACTTCAAAGGTTACATAAAGTTAAATTTAAAATGCAAGGCATAAAAATCACACTTCTTTACCTATAACTTTGTTGCCTGAAATAGATTCTATTTCAGGCAACATAGTTGCTGTTGCTTTCAGTAAAGTTGCTAGTGGATGTTGGGCTGACAGGTCAAGCCTGGATAATCAAAACTAGCCCAGCCTTAGAGGCAGGAGATTTACCTTACAAGGAATTACTGTTATGACTTCCTCCAATACATTGTTAGACAAACAATAGGTTATTGTGAAGAGAAGTAAAGTCAGCATTGTCAAAACAACTGTACATATACATAAAAGGTGCATTACTTCAGTATACAGTATTACAACATCATGAACAAACACTTGGCAATGATATAAAATTACCCATTAATAAATAAATGCATGGAATTAATGGCCAAAAAGGCCCCAAAATAGATACTGAACGCCTTTGTAGACATTGAGCCAGATAAATTATTAATTCTAGTCCATAGTTTAAATCAATTCCTATCATTTCTGATGTAGAATTTAGAATAGATTACCAGTATACAAAATAGTTTTAAATAGCATGAAATATTTGTGTCAGCACTAAATGTACAAGTGATTAAGAAATTAGCATACTCAATAATAAGTTTTAAGTATGACAATCATAAGTTGTTTTAACCTCTCTATGCACCATCTATTCTTCCTATTCAATCAGTGTGTGCCCTTTTGGGAGATAACAAGGAGTCTTAGGGGGATTATTATTATGACATAGATTACACACTACGGAAACAGGTCCCTCCCTCACATGTACATAATTATTATTACAATGACTAAATTTTTTATGGAGCATTGGAGCTATTCCACATAGTTAACCTTACAAGCATAATAGCTATTACTATGAAATTAGTCAAGCATAATAGTGTAGGCTTATAGGCAAGGGTACAGTATATGCCTAATTTTCATGGTGAGTTAATTTTCCTTAACTAAATCCATTCTAATGCCATTTTATGCATACAGTATGCACAAAACACAAAACTAGCTTGCACAAATTTAAATTTTTGAGCACTTTTCTTGGAAAACAAAAAATACACTCACATAAGTGCATGTGTGTGTACGTGACAGGATGATAAGTGCCATGCAGTTACAGCACAATCAATGACAGTTATGGCATACATCTACCTTTTGGCAAACATAATGATAGTTGTACTGTAAACAATAAACATGGTTGTGCTTCCTATATATCATAAAGATAACTATAAAATATATACAACACTATCGTCCGTCATTAAGTTACAAAAAACACCCCTCAACTACACGTAATAATACGTACAACATAACCTATATCCCAAATTACATAAAAATAATAAACTGACGACCTGTGTTTACCATTTTAATGTGTTTACCATAATACCCTTTTCCTGCATATCACTATTATAAATTTAATTAGAATAAACAAGCCCACCCTAAATCTACCCCACCTCTGTAAGAGAAACTATGAATCTTATTAGAGTGGCCTAATGAATAACAGACAAAATAAATTAAATTAATGTTGTTTTGTCATATAAACACACCTAATTATTCCCCGGTGCACTTACATTAGCAAAAGCATAATATCATTTAATAAGTTACATAGTAGTTATTAGTACATATAAACACTCATAAAACATTTTACAATCAGCAGAACTAGAAATTTAGCAGAAAAGGAAATCATTTGTGACCATAATTGACAAAAGGTACCTTATGGGGGGTAGTGAAATTTGTCTTTCTAGCCTAAGAAA